GAACTTCCTAAGTAATTGAACCTGTGTTGTCTTTCCCAATTCAATTTGATTTATTTATACAGGAAATGTATATGGCCATCCATCTTAAGAAATAACTCTGGGTGGCTACAATACAAAACAACAAAAAACACATGAATACAGATACAAGCAACCATAATGAATATCAAATTAAAACACCAAAGCTGAGGCACGTCTTATACAGTCTTCACCCACAAAGTAACCAACGTTAGGCACCACTTAGAACCCTACCCTAATGCCTGTGGGAAAAGCCAGGTTTTTATAGCCTTTCAGAAAGCCAGAAGGTCAAAGCCATTTAGATGTCCAGGGAGAGGTGGCTCCACAAGGCAGGCCCCACAACAGAGAAGTCACGTCTCCTGGGTCCTACAAGATGGCATGGTTTCACTTAGGGTTCCAGGAGTTTGCCCACCCTGCTGGATCTGGAGGAACAAGTAGAAACAATCGAAGACTGGCAGTTCTACAAGTAATCTGGCCCTGTGTCATGTAGAGCTATAAAGATGACAACCAGCAGCCATAATTATGGAGGCATAATGGAAGCCGATGCAGCTCAAACAGCAGAGGTACTGATAGACAAACCTCAGAGCACCAAAACATGATCTGCTGTCATGTTCTGAACCAGTTGAAGCTATTGAATGCTTTTCAAGGGCAGCCCCCTGTACAGCACATGGCAGTAATCCAGACAGGAGGTAACTAAAGTAAGAGTGACTGTGAGCTAAGACTTTTGATCCAGAAAGTGATGCAACTAGTTCCAAGATGGATCTCTGCAAAGGCCTTCCTAGCCACAATTACCACATGCTTTATGTGCAAAAATGTGCAGGTGATGCTGTTCATGTCAAATAGAGATTAATCCTCAACAAAACCAGCTAATATTGATATACCAAATCCTGGTGAAAGGAATAGAGCATTCTGATGGTGAGGTAAAATGGAAATTTGGTCTCTTTTCTCAGAGGAATTTTAACATGTGCTTCTATGTGTCCTCTATATGACTTGGTAGAGCAGATTTCAGTAAGTCCCAAATGCAAATTCGGCACATGATACATGCATTGGTATAGCCATTGGGACGATGGGAATACAAGGGTCTCAGGAAAAAGGCAGATCTCACTCAGTAGAAAGGCAAACAAAGCTGAAGTGTAAAGTGAATGAATTTTATTTTCACAAAACAATGTTACACAAAGAGAGGATTTTTCCAGTTGAACATTTCATAAAACATTCTTGCAGTCAAAGCAAGATGATGGGAACTAGTTTCCTTCAAGGTGGAAGCAAGATCGTCATTTGTGAGTTGTTCTTTGATTTGGATTCAGAATGGAGCAGGAAGTAGAACTCAAAGGTATTTGTACCACAACCATAATCATAATTTATGAAATGTGAATACCCCAGAGTCCCGGTGACTCTAAGCCTCCTAAGTAGAATGTGTTCCACATTCCACCAATCCATGTGGACTGAAACCACTCATTTTCATTCCACTTTCTTAGAAGAATGTAAAACAAGACAACTGTTCTTCATCCTTCCCATAGAAATCCAATACCAGCCACAATGATATTCAAAAAATGAAAAATGAGCCATGATATCACTGGGCAAATTATGCAATTACACTATTAGTATCATGGCATGTGGTACAAATACCTAAATTAGAGAATTTGTGTGAAGATGTCTCAATGCATCTGATGTCTCCTGCCCCAGGAAATGTTTGTGACCTTTCCCATTGTACCACCCATATCCAGGTTTCTCAGGGTATGTGTGCTTGGGCTGAGGGAAGGTATGATTAGTGTGTAGAATACCAAATCCATCATGGCCGTGCAAGACTAGAGAAAGGCACTAAATGCTCAGGGACACTGCTTGAAATCGATCCCGCTGTCCAGCCTTTGGCTTCCACCCTCTGTGCCTATCAGAACTTCAGTGGCCCTCGGCTCTGACTGTTGCTTTTCAACATGAGGTAAACATGTAATAAACCTCCCCTCATTTATGATCTCATCCTGGATGAGGGCACTGACCTGGCTTGTTTTACCAAGATCAGGGTGGGCCCAGGGACATTCTTCTCTCAGAATTATGCCCACCCGAGTTTCAGAGTTTGCACCAAGTAGCCCAAGGAAGGGGAGGAGGGGTGGCTGTTGTCATCCATGCATTGTTTCAGGCTTTCGGAGGCTCCACACCACAGATAATCAGATGTGAGGTACTATGGTTGAAGATGGGCTTAAGGGGACAGCTAAGATTGCTCCTGGTGTACCACCCCTCCCCTCTCCCCCTGCTGCCCAGCATCATCCCTGCTTGAGCTGCTAGATTCCTTTGCTGGGTTGGCAGTTGAGTCCCCAAGGTTGTAAGTGCTCAGGGAATTCAATTTGCTGCCCAGTGAGTTGTGTCCAGAGTGAATCAGGACTTTGTGGTCTCCATGGCAACCTAGACCTGTCCCAATTCATCAAAGGCCTGATACATACTGGTGGCTGCACACTAAATCAGGCTTTTGTCTCGGGGTGGTTGCAATGTGATCTGTTAGTGGAGGACATTAACATCACTCCATTGCCAGGGACAGATCACTCTATGATTGCCTTTTGAATCACTGGTGTCACCGGTCCCTGCAGGGAGATAAGGCCCATTAAATCAGCCTACCCCAGGTTATTGATGGACCCAATGGGGTTTCAGAGGTAGCTTGGAGTTTTCCTTGAGGATTTGGTGGACAGTTCAACTAAGGCTTTTGGAAGAGGTGGTGATTGTGCGCCTTCTTCAAGCAGCCACCCTTGCTTGGATCCATCAGTTCTTGATAACTATAATCTAGTCTCCAATCTTCCTTTTCTGGGGAAGGTTGTTGAGAAAGTGGTTAGCCTGCAGTTTATGAGAGCTCTGCAGGAAGCGAATTATCTAGACCCATTACAGTTGGGTTTAAGGTCAGGGTTTAGTACAGAAACAACCTTGATTGCGCTTGTTGATCACCTGTGGCAGAACCAGGATGGGGGTGGTGCATCCATCCTTGTGCTCCTTGATCTCCCAGTGGCTTTCAATATTGTGGATATTCAATATCATTCTGCACTGACTCTGGGGGTTGGCAATAGGGGGGGCCATTCTATGGTGCCTTTCCTTCCTCTGGGACCAATTCCAGTTGGTATTGGTTAGCAGAGAGATCATTCACTAGGAACCTTCTTTGTGGGGTGCCATAGGGTTCACCTCTCTCCCCTCCTGTTCAACATCTACATGAAACAGCTGGGTGAGGTCATTTGCTGTTTTGTGATTCGGTATCATCTGTTCACCCCAGGCCAGGTGAGGCTCTCAAGATACAGTCCCAATGCCTGGAAGTTGTATGGGTTTGGATGGAGAAGAATTGTCTCTGGCTCAATCCTACCAAGCCCAAGTGGCTGTGGATGTTGAGAATATTCCATCTTTAACCTTAGACAGGGTAAGTCTTCCCCATTCAAGAGTGGAGCGCAATCTGAGAGTCTTCCTGGACTCACAGCTCCTGCAGGATGAACAGTGGCACCAGTGGCCAGGAAGGCTTTTGCACAGTTTCATCTGGTTTGTCAGCTGCACCCTGTTCTAGATCAGGAAGTCCTTCAGATAGTTGCTCATGCCCTAGTTGTCTAATGACTTATGACTACAACATGCTCTACGCAAGGCTGTCCTTGAAGGCCACCTGGAAGCTTCACCTGGTCCAGTCTGCAGCAGCACAGGCAGTGATGGGCATGCCTTAGTATACTCATATGACACCTCTGCTTTGTAAGCTGCACTGGCTTGCCAGTTGCTTCCAGGTGCTGGTTCTGACTTATTAAAGCCCTACATGGCATAAGGTCTGGTTATTTGATGGATCACCTATCTTCTATGGCATCAGCCAGGCCAGTTTGTTCTGACATGGTTGTGTCAGCCTTACCAGGTAGACAAAACAGGAAAGACAATCAGATAAACTAATTCTACTTTATTGTAAAGCTACATTAACAGAATCTTGCAAGTCTGAAAGCATAATTCTCCCACCGTCCCATTCCTTCTGTTGGGGGAATTTGTGGGTGCAATTAATGAGAAAAGTTATTTATTTATTTGTTAGATTTCTCCCCCGCCCCTCTCCCCCCGATGGGGGACTCTGGGCGACTTACAAAAAACATTAAAACTATAAATATATATAAAATACATAATACATCTAAAATTTAAGAACAGTACTAAAAAAGGTGATTTTAGCCTTGGCAAGTTGAAAGAATTTCACATGGCGCGGGCTAGGTTAGCCATAGGCAGTAGAAAACAACTGAAACCACTAGACTGCATCTTGTAGGGAGAATTCCCATAAGTAGAGTTTATAGTACCTTGACCATCGATGGAAGAAGAAGATCAAAAAGTGTTTACATGACAGAAGGGTAAATCTTGACATTGCAAATTTGAACTCATGAACCTCTTTACTATAGCAACACTCTGTAGATGTATTTGTTCCTATGTTTAAATACTATCCCATTTGGAATATTCAACAGCTCACTCTGTGTTTGCTTACCAGCAAGAAACCACTTTTGGTCAAAAAATATCCTGGATTTTAACAAAGCTCTGTGAATGGCTTTCCTATTGTCTTCTTGACCTAGTGATAACCACTAGGTGTTAAGCCTTATATTCTAGGTGGTGAAAATTGCACAAGAGCAACCCCTTTGTTCAATAAAGTTTACCCTCCTCCCAATAGGAAAATCTAGACTGCTCTTTGCAATCAGATGATTTCTTTAATGGTATAGTTGACTTTTTCCTCATCTACTTAATGTATTTTGTATTTAAACGATAATTCCAGTTGGCAACGGTCATAAGGGAACAATGGATGACTAAACCCTCTGCAACAGTAAGGGACTCATATTGCCAGTAAAATCAGCTGGGTTGGAAGTGGTGGGCCTGCTCCGTCGGGAGGGCTGTAGTGGTTACAAATGGAGGCTTGAGTTGGGATTGACCATTGCTACCATTACCCACCAGCGGTAAGAAGAACTACTCCAGCAAAAGTGTTCTCTGAGACCAAAAAGGATTTTTGAAACGTCTACTTATATTTCTGCTTCTTTCTGAGACCAACGGGAAAACATGCATTTTTTGGTCATACGGCCTATTGCCTCCTTCATTTCCCGATTTCTTAGAGCGTATATCATAGGATTAAGGAAAGGAGTGATTGTGGTATAAAATATAGAAGCCACCTTGTTCACAGTGGAACTGAAAATGGGGACAAGGTACACAAAGAGGCAAGGCAGAAAAATAAGGCTGACCACTGTCAAGTGAGAGCTACAGGTGTACAGAGCCTTCCCTCCACTCTCTCTCAAGTGGCCTTGAAGCGTGCTCAGGATGATGCCATAGGAGAGCAGCAAGATGACAAAACAAACCAGGGAGAGCAGACCGCTGTTGGCCACCATGAGTATCTCAGTGACACGGGTGTCAACACAAGCCAATCTGGCTATCTGTGGAACATCACAAAAGAAATTGTCCAGTTCATTTGGCCCACAGAACGGCAGCCGCAGAACCAGGAACAGCTGGCTGGCAGAGTGGAGGAGGCCTCCAGCCCAACAGAGACACAGGAGTCTGATGCAGCGTGGGCGGTTCATCTTGGTTGTGTATGTCAGTGGGTGACAAATGGCCACATAGCGATCATAGGCCATGAGTGTAAGAAGGAGCATCTCTGAACCTCCAAGGACGTGGAGGACAAAGAGCTGAGTCATACAGCCCTCAAATGAGATGGTCCTGCCACAGGTGATCAAATCTGTTGCCATCTTGGGAATAACCCCTGAACTGAAGATGGTATCAATGATGGACAAATTGGCTAACAAAAAGTACATAGGCGACTTTAGAAGGTGTGGATCTATATGCACCGTCAATATAATGAGGATGTTACCCAACAATATGGCAGTGTAGCACATCATGACCAGAACAAATAGAAGGATCTGGATGGGTCGAGATCTGGAAAGACCCAAGAAGATGAATTCTGTGACTCTGGAGGCATTCATGAAGGTGATAGGACCTTACAAAGAGAAAAGAGAGTTGTTTTAATTCTCCAGGTTTCAGAACCTTCTCCTGTGAAAGAGTAACAACACAGGAAAGTGAATAATGGTGCTCTTTAGGCTTGAAGAAAAAATAAAGTGAACCCATTGTGTCATAAATATTTATGACAAGAGACCTTTGGATATTCCTCCAGGTTCTATTCTAAGTCAGATCATAGAAGTCTGAGCTACTGTGGCCCAGTGTTGCTATAGTGCTGTAGCAATATTTGGAGGGCTACCAATTCCCTATTTGAGGATAAGTCAGAATTTTCACTGACCTAGAGAGCAGATTCTCAACCCCCTCCCCACTCTATCTATCATCTCTCTATATCTATCTATCTATGTATCTTTTATTATCTCTATCTATCATCTATTATCATCTTCCATTTTCATAGTGACAGAATCAGACAGAATCCTTTCATACTTCACTGGCTTGTGAAGCACGTTTTTTTAGAGAGATTGCAATGATCTCAGTTAAGTTTCTCCTGCAAAACCGGACATTAAAAAAAAAAAGAAAATGAAAATTAGCCAGACATTTCCTGAATCTCTTCTACCAGTATTTCAGAGTTCTCCAGATGCTTTAAAAATTAACAGTAGCATTAGCAGCAGTAATGTTCCAAAAGGTACTGGTATGTTCTAAATGTAAGAAACAAGGAATCCTAGCATAGAAAGGAACGCTACGGGATCCCATACTAGAAGCCCCCTTCCCTTGTCATGGAGAAGCAATTCCTATAATTGTCCAGTTTAGGAGGATAAGGTATGACTCCCTGTATCCAATCAAGGTCCATCTAAATTATGATTCTTTGCTCCATTCCCTGGCTCTGAGGTTCTATGGAACGTAGCAAGTGGCGCATTGATGCTCTTTTCTAACCTACTTCTCAGAATTTTTCTGTGGGAAAATTAGCTTTAAAACACTTTTAAACAGTTCATATCCCCTGTTCTGGAATTAAGCTCAACTGAAGAAAACAACTTGCCTTTAAATGAATGTGTGCACTCTAAATAATTCTAGATGATCAGATAAATTAATCTCACTTTTGTCTTAATCCTGAACATTTGATCATACAGTGAATCTGTTACTACTGACCAGGTGACAAATAGAGGAGTCAGGATTTATTTACTCACTAAATATAGCAAATATTTTTCAGAGCCTTGAAAAACATGTAGTGCAGTGCAGTTGTACACATGACTAGGCAGAAGTCAGCGCAATATTTTTGGGAAATTATTCCCTGCCAGTCAGCTAGATAATATTAATTAGATATAAGCTTTCTCTAGCTGAATTGCGATGCACTAAACAGACTGATTTCAAGTACTGAAAATGTTCCCCACTTATTTCCATTCATAGCGTCCCAATATACCATCCCTTTTTCCCTTGTAGCTGTTTGCTTGCTCGCCTGTTTCTAAAGCCACCCTGGATTCTACGTTAGCGAACCATGTCCCTGCTTTAGAATGAGAGCAACCTGCACATAACACATAAGCAACAGAACACCCACAGTCCCACCAATTCCACATAACAATACAGGACACCTACAACCTACATTCCATTGAAAAACTTGTTTAGCATGTCCATCAACCCCATTTTAGTTCTCTTCATCAAAATGAGGTACAACACAATGCTTTGGTACTTCTACCGTGTGGCCCTGAACAAACTATTCTTTTAAGTCATCCCCCTTTCAGGTCCACTAGCTATCCATTCCTGAATCCTAGACAGCATCCCACTTCTTATTCTCAATGTGTATTGTTAACTAGCATCAGCCTGACTTACAATGCTTTTTGGTTTGTGCTCCACTGAGCAATAAAGGAAAACGATAAAGGAAGTTGGAAAGGAAAGAATAAGGGGGAAACAAAAATATCAGATATCTGTTTAACCAAAGTGTCCCTCTGCCCCAGTATAATGGCATGAAACTAATTACCCAGGATAGCAGCAAGTAGGAAATACAGAAATGGAACTTACAAACCCTTATTCTCAGCTTTCCCTACCACCTGCCCAAAATAGACAAGATCCTCATTTGGACCTGGACTCCGTTTTCACCAGTGATCAGTCCTCAAAACTTCTCAAAGTGGAATTAGTAGTCCTCCTTTGTCCATTACTCACCTCTCTTCCAAAAACTTACCCATATTACCTGTTCATTCCAGTTGCTTAGAGGGAACTCCAATTTGGAATAAGGTAGCACCTGTAGATTAACATCTGGAGAAGTTCACCACTACCTTTTGCTCTTTGGAGAATCAAGCAGTCACTCCTGACAAAAGAATGACACCTACTTCTCCTCCCTCTACTTTACCGAGAAATACGTAAGAAATATTTCAGTGGCCTGTTATTATACCTTTGGGAGACATTCTTATGAGGCCATTCCCAGGTCCCCAATCAGGAGAGATAATTGCAAAAGCAGAAGGAGATATTGTTGAAGCAAAGAGATCAGACTTTTCTTTTTTGTAACATGTACCATTATAAGCTATGCCCTGTACAATGTATTGAAAGTGGATGATGATCATGATGATGATGAACATGATGAAGATGATGATCACAATCATGATGAGAGCTGGTGTGGGATAGTGGTTAATGGGTTTGACTAGGAGCAGGGTGACCAAGGTTCTAGTTTATGCTCCAATATGTAAGCTTATTTCGACCAGTTACTCTCTCTAAGTGTAACCAATTCATAGTATTGTTTTGGAGAAAAATAAGAGGGAAAATTCGAGCTTCTGGACAAAAAAGGTAGGATATAAATCTAGGAAATAAATAAAAAAATAAAAAAATAGATGATGATGATGATGATGATGATGATGATGATGATGATGATGATGAGTCCCTTCTCCCTCCTGTGTTCTTGGAAGAAATGGATGTTAGGTAGTCAGACATTGGAGAGCCTTGCTGAGTTATTGCAATGAAATGACAATGGAAACCCTTCAGATACTGTAATACTGAACTTTGTCTTTGAACATGCTCTGGAAGCATGTTTAATATTCAGGGACATGTCACAGATTTTTCTCCTCTGTCTCGGTAGCAATCACTGAGCTCCATACTAATCCAGTCCACACTGAGGGAAATCAAGAGAGAAGACCACGACTGCAAATCATTACTAAATATTGTCTCCTTCCTTCCTTCCTTCCTTCCTTCCTTCCTTCCTTCCTTCCTTCCTTCCTTCCTTCCTTC